TTTAAAAGCCAATCTGATTCACTTGTGTCATTTTTAGGGAAGGAGTCTGTAATCCTGCTCTGGCTTGCTTGTGACTCCAAACACCCAGCAGTGTCACTGCCCTCTGCAATGGCAAAGAAAGCCACTTAGTGCTAGGGCTAGTAGAGAATGGGCAACAAATGCTGGTGTTGTCAATGATGACCAGATCCCAGGAATGACTTATTTTTATTTAAATGTAAGCAAACTACTGCAAATGTTGGAAATCTGAAATAAAAACAGAAAATGTTGGAAACACTTGGCAGGTCAGGTAGATCCTCTGGCGACATAGATAGAGTTAATGATTTAGGTCAATGCCCTTTCATCAGAGTTCCATAATCAGTAATCTTGATTTGATAAAATGTAGGATTTTGGTTCAGTCGAGGACTTTTTTCAATCAAGTTGTTAAGATGCAGTAATAAGCAAAATCTGTGAAAGCAGAATCCAATATAAATCAATGTGAGCCTGCTAGAATGTGTGTGAGTCAAATTGAAATATGATACTTAGGGGAGAGCACCTACACATTGGCAGTTTGATTACCACTTTTGGTGTAACTACTTTGTCATGACTTAAAGCTGATTCTGACATGGTTACCATCATAGAGATAGTCAAAGTTAAATTCTGCAGGGAACACCATTATTTCAGAGCTAATAATATCAAATGTGGCAGTTCATCGAGCATATATTGATTACTCTTGCCTGAACTACTTTTAGAGTCAAGTAAAAAGTTTGTTTCTTATAAGAAAAGATAATCTGGGGAGAATTCATTATGTTTAATCTGAGTTCTGCTTCAGCTCTAAATATGACCTGCAGATACGGTAGTCCTGGTTAGAAAAAAAATCTATTCATATACAGATGCTTAGATGTGGTATTTTGTTAACATTGCTATTATAATTGGATCTGTTTATTTAATAATAATCATAATAGACTTTGACTTCACTTGGCAAGGTAGAATTCACTGCTCTCCCATCTCTCATCAAATTTAAGAATTGAATCTTCAGAGTTGGTTGTATAAATATTTGACAAAATTGTATCATGTTCCCCAATATCCCAGTGAAAATAATAGACAGAGGAACCTCAAATAACTGAGTGAAATGTCTGTGTACCAATGTTATTAATTCCCAGGTTTAGACACTGGGCAATATTGTAGTTGACAGTTGCATAAATGCATGTAATCTCCTGGGACGAGGTGATTTTATTATTGTTCATCCATTTATTCTTTGGGAAAGGGACATATTGCTGCTGTGAACTATTTTTCATTGAACATTTGAGGAAGATGATCACAGTGAAGGAAGCTCTTTCTAGATTAGTTTTACTACAGGTTCCCAATATGCCACGTTAATTCTGATAAATTCATTAACTTTAGCAGGAATGTTGCCACTCAATGCTTGGATTGTATACAGGTAAAATGCCCTTGCACATTTTCTGAAGCATTACCAAAACCCAGCAGTATCAAGCGAGTAAGTCCAATTTATCAAAGATCTGTACAGAATAGTGCAAGGATTTCCCTGTTTATACCCAACTACACGATTAGTCCCTTTATCAAGGATGTGGTTAGAATCTTGTTGCACAAAGTACAAACGGGAAATCAGTGCTATATGGCAATTAGTCTTCCCTCTAGTTTTTATCCTTACTGTACACAATTCTGAGTTTTGTGCATGGTACATTGAACCACAGTGGAAGTCATAATGGCAGAGGGAACATTGATGATGATGTAAGTATGGAGTAATCCATCAGAGCTGCCATAAAACATACTTGATCCATCAAATTTAGCTCAGGTAATGGAACAATAGATTCTCAAATTTTGCCTGGAATGTGCTGTTAGTTCCCATTTGCAATGATATTGATATTGATGAGGGCAGAGCAGTAGACATTGTTTACTTAGACTTTAGTAAAACCTTTGACAAGGTTCTGCATATTAGAGTAATTAGTAAAGTTCTGGGATTCAGGGTGAGCTTGCCAATTGGATATAAAATTGTCTAAATGTCAGGAGACAGAGGGTGATGGTGGAGGTTTGTTTTTCAGACTGAATAAGTACATGAGTAGGAAGTGTTTGGAGCAAGATGGGCCAAGCACAGGCAGTAGGACAAGTTTTACTTCAGGATTATGGTCGGCATGGATATGTTGGACTGAAGGGTCTGTTTCCGTGCTGTATGACTCCATGACTCTATGATGTTATGCCTTGCTCATGTCCAACTCTCTAAACTGGGCTGTTAGGAACCAGCATTAAGAATAGTACAAACTGTTATGGATCTTGTCTTGATCAGTATTAGTAAGTCAGCACATTTTCAGTATTGTTCTGCACTGCATTCTCCAGTCCACACACAAATAAATGATGTAACTGAAAACAATGGTGTCACTTAACAGTTTCAATGCTTCAGAGGTCTAAATAAAGGGCCTCCTCTACATCAGGGAAGCCAAGCGGAGGCTCGGGGACCGCTTTGCAGAACACCTACGCTCGGTTCGCACTAAACAACTGCACCTCCCAGTCGCGAACCATTTCAACTCTCCCTCCCATTCCTCAGACGACATGTCCATCCTGGGCCTCCTGCAGTGCCACAACGATGCTACCCGAAGGTTGCAGGAACAGCAACTCATATTCCGCTTGGGAACCCTGCAGCCCAATGGTACCGATGTGGGCTTCACAAGCTTCAAAATCTCCCCTCCCCCGACCGCATCCCAAAACCAGCCCAGCTTGTCCCCACCTTCCTAACCTGTCCTTCCTCCCACCTATCCCCTCCTCCCACCTCAAGCCCCACCCCCATCTCCTACCTACTAACCTCATCCCGCCCCCTTGACCTGTCCGTCCTCCCTGGACTGACCTATCTCCTCCCTACCTCCCCACCTACACTCACCTTTACTGGCTCCATCCCCGCCTCTTTGACCTGTCTGTCTCCTCTCCACCTATCTTCTCCTCTGTCCATCTTCTATCTGCCTCCCCCTCTCTCCCTATTTATTTCAGAACCCCCTTCCCCTCCCCCATATCTGAAGAAGGGTCTAGGCCCGAAACGTCAGCCTTCCTGCTCCTCTGATGCTGCTTGGCCTGCTGTGTTCATCCAGCTCTACACCTTGTTATCTCTTTGTTTTTAGGGAAATTGTTTGAAAAGTGAATTTGTGATGTGGTGCTGTTGACCAAGTTTAAATCTTACAAGTAAGAAAGATTAAATACCATTTAAAGATAAAATTGACTTTGTGCTTTGTAAGTACCGTGAAAATAAAACTGATTTTCGGGAAAAAGTATTGAGAGTCTGACCTATGTTAGTCATTATAAGTTCTTTATTTGTCGTTAAAAGGATTATTGACCTGATTTTGTTTTGGGTGGGTACAAATATGGGGAGCACTTTAACACATTCACAGAAACATGAAGTCACTTTCAGACCTTTTCAGATGTTTGGTCCTTCGTAGTGGGAATCCCCCAAGGAGGTTCAATAAAATAACTTCCCTTTATTTCCATGGTTGACTGTGCCTTTCTGAGCACTTTTATTGTTACAAAGTTCTAAGTTTTAAAAGTGACTTAATTGCTTTCTTCTCCATCTTGATCCCTTAATGACCCATCCCTCTACCCTGGCTTGCTCCAAAAACTTCACAATTATGACTTATTTCACCAATTTGCACAGAGTCAACTTTCTCATCATTGTGATATTGTGCATAACATTAGCAACTCATGCACAAAGTCCTGTCTCATTGTCGGTCATTTAGAGCAATCATACTTGTTAACAGTGACACCACAGGCAGATGAGATCTGACCAAGCAGTTGTGATGACAATTAATGGTATCAGTTTATGTGTTTTATAACAGTTGGAAGCCTACCAACCTTCATTCACAACTGGCGTGAATAAGGAATGGTCTCCTGTGATTTAATTGCTTGCTGACTGGTATTTGTCAGATACAGAAGTCTATGTGGTTGTGAGTAAAATGTAGGACTTAAATTTATTGAGATGGTTAAGATCGAATTGTAGCAATGTCACTCAATCGTTCAGTGCAATCTGCATGCTTAAATTTACTAAATCAATCTCTAAGCCTCCTTATGCTTTGGCATGGGGAAAATATCATAGACAACAACTTAAACGAATATAATTCCTTTAATGCAGCAAAATATCACAAGGCATTTCGAATGCTCTCACAGGAGGGCATAAAAAATAAATTATTTAGTGGTTGTAAAACAGAAGTATATTGTTTGAAAGCTTAGTATCAATGAATGCTGAAGAATATTATCACACTTTTAAAATTACAGTTAGCATTTGATGCCTGCTCAAAACACAAAAAAAAATCCATTGCAAGTTAAGTTTCACATTACACAGCTCATGAGAGAAAAAGCTACATTTGGTTTTTTGATCAAGTCAAACATACCATTCCTTTAAGAATACATGCAATTAACATCAGTTTTAAATGCAATGAATAGATAGAAATCTCAATTTGCACATCGCGGTCTCAATTAAAAGATTTTTTGTGACACAACTGGGATATTTCAGTGCCACATTGTTATCAATGTTTAGTGATAAAATGGTGGCAAAGATACATAACTTTATAGGAGCAGTTTGTTCAACCTAATCACATAACCAAATGCAAATTTTGTCAGACTTCTAGTGCAAACATTCATTTTGGCAAAAGAGCTGAAAGGTAAGTTAGACTATGCACCTTGGGAGTAACAGGAATAAATCCAATGCCTGTTTAAGAATTTAGATGAAAAGCTATCAACTTGCTACTCAGGAGTTAAACTATCATAGGAGATCAGCTGTGCCTTAAGGACACTTCCATTGATTATAACGAATCTAAAAAATGGATGACCAACTCAGCCTCAGTCACAATTAGCAAGTTGAAAATCTACCTTTTAAAAAAATGAATTCATAATCTGATTTTGGGATTGAATATAACAGCACATGGTACTGAACAGAAATACAACAAGGAGATGTTTAGATTGTGCCATCTTTATTCATAAGTTGAGATGAATCTCGTTAAAGTGATACTCTTCTTTCTTCCTGACAGAAACCCGTGCAACCTGTGGATGACCCCTATGGTATAAATGCTGTCATTGTTTTTGGAACTTTCTCTGTCCCAGTGGCAGACATGTATCCTGAAATGATACATTTGGAGTAAGTGTAACTGCTTTATGTTTTATCGTGTTGTCTTCAAACAGGCCATATACTTTTGTAAATTCATTAAAAACAAGTTCTCTACACTTAGAGTTTCATTTCATATTCCTTGCAACTACTTCCAATTCTCCTGAAGTTCCCATTGATCTTCAGGGCAACATTCCATAACGCATGAAAATCATCATTATTCCTTTAACATATATGCACTCTGTGTTCCATGTTCAACTTCTCAGTCTCCCAACTGTCCACCCTACATAAGCTCTAACATCTCCAAAACAACACCAACCATGTGCCAGCACCTCATTAACACCTACCACTTTGAACCTCTGTTCTCAGATACACACTTTGGCTCTACATCTTATCATTCATTTGATTCAATGCCATCGTTACCTACATGGTGTTATGCTAGTCTACTTCCACAGTCATCCCCATCCTTATATCCCACCTGGTCTCTCACATCATCTATCTTGTTGGTGAGACCTCTGAAGTACTGTGTAAAGTTCTGGTTACTTATTATAGGAAGGATATTATTCAACTGGAGAGGGTTCAGAAAGGATTTACCCAGACATTGCTGGGAATGGAGAGTTTGAGGTATAAAAATAGGCTGGATAGGCTGGAACTTTTTTGACTGGAGCATAGGAGGTTGAGGGGTGATCTTATTGAGTCTTTTAAAATCATAAGGAGCGTACATTAGGTGAATGACAAGGGTCTTTTCCCTATGGTGGGAGAGTTCAAAACTAGTGGGCATATTTTTAAAATGAGAGGAGCAAGATTTAAAAAGGACATGAGGGGCAGTTTTTTTTTACACTGAGAGTGATTTGTGTGTGGAATGAACTGCCAGAGGAAATGGTGGATGCAGACATAGTTACAATGTTTAAAAGATGATTGGATAAGTTCATAAATAGGAAATGTTTGGAAGGATATGGACCAGGCGCAGGCAGATGGGACTAGTTTAGTTTGGGAACATGACCAGCATGGACTGGTTGGACTGAAGGGTCTGTTTCCATGCTACATGACTTTGGATCCGTAACACAGGCTTCCTACTCCTCACCATTTTCCAGCTTTCCAATGTTGGATGTTGAGTCTTCAGCCATCTCAGCTCTATTTTCTGGAATTCACCTTAATCTCTCAACAACCAACTCCAAAAATCTTATTTTCAGCTGCACCTTTTTTTTTAATCTTCCAATAACACACTTCCTTCCATTACTGATATCTGCTTATCCTCTATTCAGTGTCTCACTGAAGTGTTCACTAACGTAGAGTTGTCATAGTCGTAAATGCAAATTAAACCATTACATCAAAGCATGATCCCACCAATAACTTCCCCTGACTCGGAATCATGTTTGTTATAAAGTGGCCGCTAATCTTACAGAAACATCCCAACCGCTTCCGTATCTTTAGTAGAAAACAAAATACCTTACTTTAAATATCAAATGCTATTGACTTCATTACCACGTGTATCCTAAAGGTGTTGTAAAGCTCAACTGCCCAAAGCTATCTTGAGTTAATATGTTTTTCCTCCACTATTAGTTTCCTTTTGAACAGTTAGGCTGAGTAACATCACCAATTCCAATGCTTTTTATGTTTACTGTTGGAATAACAATAATTGGAACTGTTGAAAAGGGGTCATGCCTGGGTGTATTGTTTCTACTTACAAAGGAGAGGGTCCTGTTCCAGCAGGAATGTTTCCAGCACATGTAAGTGATCCACACTCTGAGTCAGAATGATAATTTTATATTGGTCATTGATATAATTCTCAGCACAATTAGGGTTATTTCGCAAGCAGTGTGCAGTAATGTTTGGATAGACAGTAACGTTCATCCAAATTCTCGGCAATTGGCGTTTGAAAAGGGAAATAGGTGGTGAAACACAGCTGGTATGAAACTGTTAAATGATAGTTTCACTACTTGCTAGCTGTAATAAAAAAGTATTGATGTCAAGACCATATTATATACTTACACAGGCGAATTAAGAATTAAGTTAAAAAATATTGTGGGATCATTTTAACTTTTGGGGATTGTGTAAAACAGAGGAGATCAGGGAGTTATTATTTTAGCTCTTATAATATGAACACTGAGATGGGGTTCTGACTGAGAACAATTATCTGGAGATTTATTCTGAGAGCAACTAAATGGATTACAACACTATCAGGCACATCTATATAGTCTGGGTCTCTCAATTAAGCAAGCTGACTGACTCACTGATATTCTTGATAGATTCCAAAGTACAGAGACAAGTATTCAAAATAGGGCTGATACCCGTATACATAAATGTCACGTGACACAATGTCACACTATTTCATGGTACGAGTTCACCCTTAGCTTTCATAAAGTTGCACATTTGCCTGATCATGGATACACACAATATCACAACTATCAGATTAGTCGCCTTCAAGCAATCTCCAACAGAAACAAAAATGAAGAGAGGTCAAAAGGAGATGGAAGCAGAATTAATGGTAACTTTCTAAAGGAAATTGGATAAACACTTGAAGAGGAAAAAGATGCCCTCTTGCTACAGGGAAGAAATAGGGTAGTTGGATTAACTTTCAAAAAGCTGACACAAACAAGATCAGTCAAATAGTTGAGATAACAAGGTGTAGAGCTGGATGAACACAGCAGGCCAAGCAGCATCAGAGTAGCAGGAAGGCTGACGTTTCGGGCCTAGACCCTTCTTCAGAAAATTTTCTTCATTTATGATCTTATTTTGAAATTTCTTTCAGGCAGAGGTAATTCTTAAGACATTTATCAAAGCCTACAACATTTCAATAGTCCCGAGATTGCTCATCTGTAAAATCCATCCTCACTGTTGTTCGTTGACTTTCCATGGCTATTTCAATGTTTCCATCGAAACATTTCATGTAGGATTAATACAGATCAATCAGATCAATCACAACATCAGCAATCCTTCATATGTATCACTTTTTCTACATTCTGATAAGATTAAAAACTAAATTTTCCTCTCATTTTTCAAACATCTTACCAGCTTGATACCATTGTCTTAGAATTGATTCCAGTGAACAATTTACTTGTAACAGTCGGTGCAAGATGACAATTGCATTTAAATTTCAGAGAGACAACAGTTGAAATTCCTGAACCCGAGGAAGAGAATTCTGCATCTTAGGCTGCACCAATGTAACAGGTTAGTCATCAACCTTTCACTTTTTTTTACTTTCCTTGATTTACAACTCTTTTCAAGACTGAAAATATCCATCGAATTGTTAATAACAATGAAGGAATCAGAGAATTATTTAGTAGGGAGCAGTTGGTAATTACTCTGGAAGGGACTTTTAATGTGAATAAAAACAGAGAATGCTGGAGAAACTCAGTAGGTCCAGCAGTGTCTGTGGAGAGAGAAACAGAGTTAACATTTTGAGTCTCTTCTTCGGAACCGACACCACAGGACTTTTAAAAGGAATTTTTAACAGTTTGTTTGGGTAGTATGTTTAATAGATGAATTGCACAATTGAGTATTTATATATAACTTTGCCTATGTGAAGGCAAAGACTATGCTTAAGGTGGTTGAAAATTGTGTGCTCTACATATATTATTTTAAGGTAGATTTATTGGCAGGATTTCCTCTACTTGCACCCAATTATCTAGGATGCCATACAGAGGAAAATCAGATGGAACCCCTTTAACAGGTATACAGTCGTTCTGCCAAATTTGTCTTTAATCAATCTGCAAAGGTGATCCAATATGCCCTGAGTGGACGGGCAGGAAAATTGGTCTAACACTTCAGCATTCTTTTTGAGACAAATGAATATCCATCAGTCCTCTACTCTCCCTCCCAATTGTCTGAACAATGAACATAAAATGTGCCCTAATTTTGAGACTCTTCAACAAAAGGCCCAATGTTTAAAATTACTGCAATATTCGCTAAATTCCAGAGATGGTCATCAAAGTATCTTGATTTCTCAAAACAGTATATTGCTCCCTGCAAGAGTGTCCATGTTATGCATCTGTTACTGAATCCTAACCATAAGGAACACTAGAAGAGGCATGCTTAACATAATGATTTATAGACATTGAATCATTTTTGATTTGTTTTCAGTTCGTTTTGGATGAAATAATATTATGAAATAATATTTTGGCCTTGACTTTTAACTTGGCTCATTTGGTGTCAACTAAAGGTGTGGGGGGTGTGGGTGAGTTAAAATAAGAGAAGTCACTTATTTACACACTCTGGCCCAACTACTGACCTACAGCATCCCAATGCTCAGCATTCATTTTTGTTTCAATGTATTTCTAAGAAGCACATTGTGGATTTGTTATACATTAGAAAGTGCTGCATAAATGTCACACAACGAAATGTCTGCTATTGTGAATGTTATTGTGAACAGTACAAAATTTGGAAATTTAATAACTTCTTGCAAATGAAAGAAACTTAGAAAATAGTTTGAGCCCATTGCATGAGTAAATATTGCCTACCTGTTTTCATCTTAATTCTACAGTTATAAAGTTCCCTCTCATCCTAGTGTTGTATTACATTTCCCAAGATTAATGGAGAGACAGGCATCCAGCAATGTACTGCCACTGTTTAATTCACAAATAGGAGATATACAAATAGTGGTTTGTGGTTTTTCACCTTTTAATTCCTCCTTCCCACTCAGTGAGAAAGCATGCTTTCTTCAGATCCTAGCAATACATCTTTCTGTTATTCCTTGGCCAGAGAAAAACATGGCAAGTCACTTCACAGGAGCATTAAAAATTAAAACTTGACACCAAGCCACAAAAGGAGAAATTACAGCTGGTAATGAAATTGGATGGTCATTGAGGTGGAGTTGTTAACATGGACAGCATTTGCTGGCTTTGTTTTGGTGTATTAATGAGTTCGGGAAAAATAAGGTCCTGCTGTTGTTCGGGGCAATTTCAGATTACAAAGCACGGCAACTACAAATGCAGGTCAGTGTGGGTTGAAAATTGTTTCCAAACCATTTGCAATTAAAGCCTGAAGCCAAACAAGAAAAAAATTGCATTTATATGTCTTGTCAAATATGTATGTCATCAAAACTAGCAGGCATAGGTTTAAGGTGACAGGGGAAAGATTTAAAAGGTATGTAAGGGACACTTTTTATCACAGTATATGGAACAAACTGCCAGAGGAATTGATAGGGGTGCATACAATTATAACATGTAAAAGGAATTTGGACAGGTACATGGATAGGAAAGGTTTAGAGGGATAGGGGCCAAATGCAGGCAAATGAGACTAGTTCAGTTTAGGAAAACTTGTCAGAATGGATGAGTTGGGCCAAAGGGCCTGTTTCTGTGCAGTATGACTCTATGACAGCAAAAGGCTTTCACCCAGATCCCAAAAGGGTGAGATCTATAGTAGCATTGTGGTGAGAAATGTTTAGCAAAACATTTGCCCAATTTGTTGTGTGAACCAACTTACTGCCAAGGATGTGCAGTGGTTTTGGGCCACAGAACAATAAGCAGCATTCACTAAAATTAAGTAACCAGTGCTGAGGTACTATGACATTAATGAGATGTCAATGTGATGCCAATGTGTCAGGATTTGGAGCAACACTTATGCAGCAAGCACAACTAATTACATTTAGTTATTGTCTCTAATTGTGAACATTTTCACTAATATTTACTAGAACAGACAAAGTGATGTTTGATTCCAACCACAGGGCACTTCAAAACATTTTTCCTCAAACTGTGACCATCTGCTCTGAAGCATCTGCAAAGAATGTTACTCTGGTTAGAGATACCATCTGATTGGGTCAGACAAGAAAGGAACAGACAGATTGGGTCAGACAAGAAAGTGGAATTTTTTGGCCTGCTGTCAAGAGTTGCACTCCTTTTGAAAGGGTTGAGGATGCTAATACAGAGTGAGAAATTTTCCAGATTCAATGAGAAGCAATAGCCAAACATCAGAAAATCATCAACCCATCAGAGACATTGGAGAGAGAGAAGGGGAGAAGCTGAAGTGGAGCCATTAAACTACCAAGGAATTAGGTTGAGTCAGAAGAGAAATGCAATATTGACCAAACATAGGCAATGAGATTAAGTACCTCATCGACTAGAGCAGTATATGTAATAAGTATCAAGCAAACCAAGCAAACCCCAATACGTATACAGCAGACCTCATCAGTCTAGTAGGAACTGCTTCATCTTATAACCGTAGACCACTTTTCTGACTGTTGGGAGTTAGACCAGCTGATTTTAATGGCTATCTTTGAAACTGTAGAATGCCTGTAAGAACTCTTCAGCCAATATGGATTTCCAGAGATGAGTGACAATGGTCCTCAGTTCAGAGTGAAGAATTTAGCCACTTCCTAAATAATTGGGTAATTCAACATTATGCATCTCCATAATTTTCCTAGTCAAATGGTAAGGCTGATGTGGCAATGAAAAATGCTAATAGAATCATAAAGAATCTAAGCAGAGTCAACATAGGTCAGTACAGGGCATTCTGAGTGGAGAAACATATCTAATGAAGGCATGGCATATATGAAATCAAACTGTAACTAAATTACCCTTCTAATAATGATTAAGCTGCTGATGGTAGAAGTAAAAATACGCATGAGTTTCAAAACCATGGTGAAACAGCAAAAAAGCCAAATTTCAGTTTGACAAAACCGCCAAACCATTTCAGAGTTAAGCACTAGAAAGCCAGTCAGGGTACAAACCTTCAACACTCTCAACAAGAGTCAGCCCAAGTAGCAACTTGGTACCAGTATACACCTCAAGGTTACACTGACAGGATTGAAAAGCTAGAATGTCTCAACCACAGGAACATGAGCACAACTAGAAAAATTGTTCCTTCACTGCAGGCAGCCAATCGAGAAATTGTGAACTCATCATATGCATAGACCATTCATCAACCATTCATCCCAGAGGTCCACGGCTCCCTAGCAAATGAAATGGAACAACAGTTACCATGACAACTACAAGTAACACAGTGGTACTCCCCAAAGAGGTCACATTACCAAGACAAAAAGCCAAATGAAAACCAAAAACATTGCTTATGTGCACCAATAAGGAAATAGCACAATTTAGAGATTATGACCAGATTTTCAAAATTAGGCCATTCAACCCATTGAGTCTGCTCCACTATTCGATCACGGCTGATATGTTTCTCAACCCCATTCTCCTACCTTCTCCCGGCAATCCTTGATTGCCTTACTAATCAATCTCTATCTTAAATATATTAAATGATTTGGCCTCCACAGACTTCTGCAGCAATGAGTTCTACAGAATAACCATCCTCTGACTGAAGAAATTCCTCCTCAGTTTTCTTTAGATAGAAAGGACTGAAGGATGAGAAGGTGGGTAGGTGAAAATGTTTTGGCCTTGTTGGGACAAGTTTTTCTCTCCTAATCTTAATGATCTTTGAGCCTGGAGTGTTTGAAAAGATTGAGAGCAGTCAATGACAAAATAATCCTTAGACAAGTGCACAACGAAAACAAATCTGTTTTCTGTAAATCCTCCTTTGAAGTGACTCTCGTGAATTCTGAGGAGTGGCCTACCCTCTCTAAAATGTAGCATTGTCGTAGTTAGAGATTGGCACGAAAGAAACATGATCAGTAGAAAAGCCACAGCAATAAAATTCATTTGAAATGTAAGAATGTAAAATTGTAGATTACCTGGATTGGATGTACTATGGCTGTGTTATGCCGTGACATGTACACAGTCACAAATTAAAGTAATAAAACAGATCCTGCAGTATACAGACCATTACTGATGATAAGATAGGTATAATGTTACTACTGTTAATCAAGATTTATAAAATAGTGAAGGGACAGGACTGTTTTTTGACTCAGTTATTTGAACTGGTTGGATGAGGGATATTACGAGCAGGGTGACGTTCTCCAGTTTATTACAGTTCCAGATGGGACAGCCTGAATCATTAATCTCCCACATGAGGAGGGATGAATTGGCAGCTCTTTATTGAGACACCACCCCGATTGGTCATGGCAACGTTAATTTAACAAAGATCACTTCCCATTTCGATACCTTTTCCCAACCAAAGGAATTTAGCTTTTAAAATGAGCCAATTTAAACAGGTTTTCTTGATAAAAGAGTGAGTTTATTAGTTACTAACCATGAGATAACACAACACACAGTCATAGAGCTTAGGAATAAGATAAACTTTTTTTTAAAAAATGCATCAGTCTGAGTCATTTGTGAAAAATAATTGCAGCCATTGCATAGGATGATACTAGAAGCATTAACATTGGTGCTTGAATAATCAACTTCAAGATGCTTGCCTCATTTGCAGGATTTAAAATTCTTTTACATTGATTCCTTTTGACGGTAGCTGCTTAGCAGCACTCAGTGTGAGGTATACTGTTTCTCCTTTCTTTACCTGCAGTGCAGGGGTGTTTAATAGTTTTTCTCAAACTGTTATTTTTATAACACATTAGTATTTCTGGCCACTTGTATGCTGAGATCAGGATTGAAACTTACTTTTAACCCCTGTCCCTATGTCCACTAGACAGGGGAAAAAAGACAAGTTTGTCTCTTGCTCAAAATGCTATCTTTTTCTCCCATTATGTTCAAAGTCTGGGAAAGTTACGGGAGACTTCTGTTCAGTTTGTAGCATGTTTGTCTGTATGATGCTTCATTGACACCTTCAAATGGAACATTCCAGTATTCCTCTCCAGATAGCCACTAGATTCACATCCACTGTCATCGTTTGGCTAAATAAGTTCTCCTTTGAAAAATACATGTTGGAATTAAAAGAGATAGTTAGAACTGCCAATACTGGAGTCAGAGTTAACACAGTGTGGAGCTGGATGAACACAGCAGGCCAGGCAGCATCAGAGGAGCAGGAAAGTTGACATTTCGAGTCGGGACCCTTCATTTCTGAAGAAGGATCCTGACCCAAAACGTAAACTTTCCAACTCCTCTGTTGCTGCCTGACCTGCTGTGTTCCTCCAGCCCCACATTGTTGGAATTAAAAGTTTGATAGGTCTGTAGGTAATCTGGATTATAAAATGAGAGAGAACAAGGGGTCATGTCAGATATGTTATGTATGTTAAAATTATGTTAATTTACTGACTTAATTTGTGATGGACTGCTATTACAACCAATCCACAGTACGATCATTCCTGACACTACAACACTGCCATACGTGTATGTGATAACAACTGGCAGAAAAAGACCCACTGCTCTGTCCAGCCTGTCACATATAAATTTGATCACCAATGCATCATGATGCTTCCTTTCCCTCAGATGCCATGTGATCTCTTTTGAAGAGGTAAAAACAAAAGATGAAAATCCAACTGGATAAAGTCCTCTCCAATTGCTTTAGGGGATAAAAGCTGGTACAGGTGATCACACTGACCTTGATTTATATGACAGGGCACCATGCTCTTGTACAAGGTCAGTTCCCCAGACAGAAACAGTCTGTTCTGTAAAAATACAGCAACTCAGCACACTTGAGACAGCAGCCCATTTATTATTCTTTAGGAATAAAAGGAACATCCAATTTAGTCCTACCTTTCACTTAATTTGTAAACACAATTACTTGTTTGCCCTGACCCAGCCTACTGATACATTGTTCAGTTGATATGAATGGTCCAAATAAACACAATCTAGTTTTGGCATTATCTTATGAATCTCAATCAGTTCTCCTCTGAATATACTCTGTTGGGATTAAGGTGTTTTACAGGGGGGAATCATCTTTTAGACCTCGTCTGCACCTTTTCCAAAGCCTCAAAATAATTCACCTTCTGAGGGGATAAAACCTTAACAACATATTGCCATGGAACCATGAGATCTTCTTTGTCCACCCAAGAAGGCAGACAAGATCTAGTTTTAACAACACGTCTAAGAGACAGCCCCTCTGACACTGCAGCACCCCTTCAGTACTGCAATGAAGTGCTGGCTACCTACTGTTGCTCAAGTCACTGGAGTGGGACTTGAATTCACAACCTTGACACAAAAGGAAATGTGTTACTTACCCAGCAACAGCTGACATCCGCACTGTTTACTTTCATCTGCTATTTCAGGCACCCCATTTTCCTGCCCAAGGTTTGCACAAGATCTCAAAACAACAAGGAAAGCGACATTAATTTGGGGAACATTTTTACAAGTATGATTAGATATCACGCAAAAGATTGCCATTACACCCTAAATCATCAGGACAAATTTCTTTAAATCTTCTACATTGAGCATGAAAGTCATCATAGTCCCAGAGGACCATAGGGCTGCTCCCTCATTAGAGATAGACAATGGATAGTGACTTTAACCTGAGGGTCACCACATCTCAGGAAAGGGGAAAGGTTGAGGAGGCATGGCTTTCATGGTGACCTCTACCTTGTGCAACATCTTGTCAGTTACGCCCAGACTTCCAACAAAGCAAATTTGTAACTATCCACTGAAGGTGTGTGAGAGCAACCACGAATGACTCACTCTTTAACTTATTTCACCACCTGCAAGCATCTCCCTTGGGGTTGGGAAATCTAACCTGCTCCAACACCATTACCACCACCACTCCCAGGAATTCCAGGTGCAGCCCTTTACTCAACTGTTCAATCATGACAAAATGTACAAAAAAGTTAGTATATTTTTAAGTGATTATAGAATGCATTTAGAATAGCTCTAGTATATGAACTTTCAAAATTCCTTTCAGAAGTAAATAAATACATATAAAAGTAAAATACTTGTAAGATAAGGGTTTGGTTCCTAAATTAACATCTGTTTTCCAGTTCCTAAAATTGGGTGTATTTTATGGGGCTTTATGTTGTTTATAACACTGCACTATGTGCATTATACATGTGTAAACATCCCAAGTTGATTTAACCGAGGGAGATGGTACTGCACCTGTTCATGATTTAACAAATGTTGTATGCATTCAAACTTTGCAGTTACATATTTATATTTACTTTTATTGTTTTGGACCTACCAATATCCAATACCACCACAATCTAAAATGGGTTTTTGTAAACCACTTGACTGTACAGGGAAGACTCTTTATGGTTTTAAGTGTTCATAACTTAATGCATTAAACGTACTCACCATCAGAAAAATTTGAGCTACTTTGCACGTTTAGGGTTTGTTTTTAGGAGCAGATAGTTTCACCTGCTCCTGGTATTTCTCAATTCCCAATACACACCATTGCTCAACAGGGAAACGCATCGGAAACTGAGCAACTAGAAAACAAGGAGAATTTGAACAAAAGGTACTGTGTCTTTATACAGAGGTGGTCAGTGACGTGTTCTGGTAACATGAGACCCGTTCCCATGCAAATAGGAAGAAGGAGAATAGAACAGGGTGTTTCACCCTTGAACCTACTCTTCCTTTCATTTCACAGAATGTCTGAAACCTTGAGTGAAAATGCACATAATGTTCACTCCATGGAGTAAGTCACAAAAACAAAAAACATTGCATGGCTTGGCATCAGGCATAATTGACTATCTGCATCAAAGGTGAGACTGGAATGTCTGCACTGTGAGATTTGTTAAAATGCAAAAAATAAAATTGAACCTCATAAATTATTTTGATCAACATTAATTTCTAATTTCATATCTTAAACTTTTATTTTCTGTTACAGAATTTACAACATGAATTCTTTCACTCTGAAGACTACTTGCACAAGGAAATTATATTTTATTATCGATACACTCATTTTAAAGCTAGATAAAAGTAGTTTAATTTTGTAGCATTGTTATTTTCTGATTAAGTGGTGCTTTTCCTTTATCAAGCATTCAGAAATGTTCATAAGAAGCAACATTTGTAATGTTTATAGTGAAGTACTATGTAAGCTAATAACGGACATACAGTAATGAAAACAAAAGAGGCGAGAGGTGTGCTTTAGGCAAGAGGTGTGCTTTTTTGGATAGGAACAGCTGGGTTGGAAAACAAGGCATTATTTTACATTGCTGTGCAAAAGCCAATCATTTCCCAATGGGAGAGGGATGGAAATGGCCAATGGAAGAAACCATCACTGAGTCATTGTTGCAAGCTTCCAATCTCCTCTCTAGGAGGGACAAGGTTGGGGTTTCAGAGCAATCATCTTCCATACAGTGAGCTGGAGGAAATACAACCATAATGCAACCATAGCAGAAATGGTGGAGGAAACCAAATGAGTAAAATATGCTCAAATATCATCAGTGATATCCTTGTAAAATATCACCTGTAACTGCAATACCACTCATCACACCTCACCAACAATTCCTGAACATTTTTTGCACCTTCAATGTCACCTCTTACTAGTCCATTGCATTATGTATGACTCTGTATATTGTATATTATTTTGTACAGAAATAGCATGTATTTTGGCTCAGAATTATTAAATTATCCTGATTGCAATGTTATTGTTAATTATTATCTACTTTATTGTATGGATTGAAATGTGAATATGTAAGTTTGAAAGAGTAAAGTGATTGGGCCTGCATTTCACTTTAACAAATGAGCCTTGGTGGTTAATCAGTCTGTGAACCATTTGAATGTTTTCATGTTCTCAAAATGACTGCAAAAGGCAGGATATAGTTTGGGCTAACTACATTCTGGTCATTTATGATTATCAATGGTGATGAGATGGCATACAGACAGTCTGAGAAACAAATGAGCATAAAGGTTACAGTGAATATATCACCAGCTGTGCTGTCACTCCCAAATTATATTTTGATATCTAAGTGTGTTTCCACTTATGCTCAGTGACCATGCAGCTTCATAAATTTGGGAGTACAGAATTTTAAATCAACAGCAGGAGGTGATGACCTAATGCTATTATCGCTGGACTATTATTCCAGGGACCTGGGTTCAAATCCCAACACAGCAGATGGTGGAATTTGAATCCAACAAAAAATCTGGAATTGAGAGTCTAATGATGACCATGAATCCATTGTGGATTGTTGGGAAAAGCCCATCTGGTTCACCAATGTCCTTTAGGGAAGGAAACTGCCATCCTTACTTCTTTTTTAGATCTCATTAAAAAGGTGAAAGTGGAGAATGATCTGTGATATATATAAATTTGATTTTTCTACATAGCCAAAGATCTAAAAAGAACACTTCTAACAGCAAAGGATTCTGGGCCACACTAACTAAAATGTTGCATTTATAAAGAATGCAAACTTTAGCTTTGGAGGTCCAAACTCTACAAAGAATGCAAACTTTAGCTTTGGAGGTCCAAACTCTACAAAGTTCTAAGATAGTTCTCTCATTACTGAGCTTTTGTAGGATGTTGAAATGCTACTGGTTTTTGAACTAACAATCAGAGACAGACAGACTGACATAGAACAGAAAGGAAAGCTTTCTCGCTGCTTTTGAAGTGCCTCTCAAAGCTGGGCTGCAAAATGAAAACAATACAATTCAAAAAGCAGCATCAGGAACATGAGTCAGGAGGGGAAACATTGAAATTATTGCAATTGCATGTCTACACTTGCCATGGCAATTAAAATATTCAGTTTTGTAAGCAGACACCAAAGCAAATGCAGGCATGGAATTGGAGGATAAAATAACCCTCAGAAGTAGCAAAATAAATGCATCCGTCCTTATTGTAAGACGGATTTTCAAATTATGAAAGAAACCAATCAGGCAGATGAGGAAATTGCAGACCTTGAAAATCAAACCATGAGTAACCATCAGAAGTAGCAATCCTTCCATGAGACAGTAACCTGATGTCAGAGCTGACCCCATGGTATCTCAGGACACTTATCTTCAAAAGGCAATCAGCAACAATGGACAGCGAGTGGTGGTATTCTCAGTGGACAAGTTGTGAGAAGCATATTACATATCCATACTAGTAGGCTGTGCAGTTTCAGCCAGCTAGACTTCTACTTATTCTTGTACAGAACTGAGGGTTCTATGAAGTTTTGCCTTTGGCCAATCTACAGTCAAATAAGTGAGATTTCAACGCAAGGAAATAGTAAAGATTCCATAACAGGCAAACTAACTCTGAGCCGAATTTTGTCCAAAACGAGACAAGGGCCAATTTCAGGGATTTTCATGGAGAGGTCCTCTCTGTGAGCTCCAGTGAGTTTTCTCAAGCAATTGTTCATTGCTGGCCCCAGTTTGTACACATATCGGCTCTATGGTGCCATGCTCATGATTTCATTCACGCAACAACGGCAGACGTACTCACCACTGCTGGGATCTCCAGGACCTCTTTCTTCTGGACTGCCAGTGGAGACCATGGCACCAGAACCTGCCAGCCAGGTTCAGAGCCACCACCTGTCTCAGTGCCATTTCCATGGTCCAGACCACGTGCAGTTGCAGGAAGAAATTTTGTGACCTTACGCGCTCTGCAACTCTCAGTGTCACCATCTTCTCTCTGCTGCCTCACACTCACTCTCACTCCGCTACTGCGCGCACCTCCCACAAAAGCTAATGCTCCACCACTTTCACTATTGCACACAGCATCTTCCTGCACTCGCTTTCAGCAACCAGCCCCATGCCCCAACCCCACAAACTGCTAGCCCTGCATGCCTTTTGCATTGCCAACTCACTCATTGAGGCCATTGGAGTCCAAGCACTGATCTGATCACTGGCTGCCACTTGGAAAAAGACCTACTCTTTGTTCCTGGCTGCCCACCAGTTCCCTATTCATCTCAATACAGTACCCTGAATTCCATGTGCTTTAATTTTACATGCTAGTCTCTTAGGTGAGACCTTATGACCTTCAGGGACATCACTGAATAAAGAAGCATCAGATGCTGAGAAAGTTTCCACCCTTTTGTAACTTTAACACTTTGCTAAAAAGCATGAACTGCATAGAAAGATCAAAGAGTTAAACCGTTGGGATTGTACAGGGGATACTGGCCTCAGCAGCATCCAATCTGTTACAGTCAGTGAACGATGACTTCATGCAGCTTAGTTCCATTCACAGAGACGTCCTGTCAGTTGTTGCTTTCCTGATGCTGCTCACTGTAGGATGCTGAAAGCTGTTCCCTCTGAAGAGCATCCTAATGTCTTACTGAGCACAGTGCTGCAGTGATCATGGATCCTAACATTCATCCCATCATCTCTGTGCATTCTCCAGTTTTCCAGGGCAGAGTTTGCGAGGATCAAGTCGTTCCCTCGATAGCCCCAGAGGAAGGAGATGTTTCATTGCAGATACACTGGACAGCAAACACAGCATTCTGACCTCCATCTCCGGACAGAGTATAAAACCACTTCCCTTCTCCTCTGCACAACATTCCACGGGAAGCGAGGGACTGCGGCTTTCTTTGCCTTATCATGAGAGCCCCCAAGGCAGAAGCTCTGCCATAGGGGTTCAGTTACACATCCACTAGACATTGATATGGATACACATGTCCCTTACCCATTTGTATAGCTGCCCTTAGTACAGTGACTACAGGGATATCCACAGCTTCTGTATCTGGATCCACTGAGGAAACAGTTCTAATGAGCCTATGTAGGCTATAACAGAACTAAAGCACCTCCTCAGTAAAGTGACCATTCAGTAGTAGATGTTGGTGTGTTCACCGAGCTGGGAGGTTTGAGAGCAGACATTTCATCCCCTTACTAGGTGACATCATCAGTACTGTGGAGCCCCCTGTCAGGATGTCACCTAGTAAGGGGGAATGAAACATCTGCTATCAAACCTCCCAGCTCGGCGAACACACCAACATCTACAACCGGCACCCGAGCTACAAATCTTTACTCAAACCCTGACCATTCAGCAGTTACAGCACATACATAAATAACCATTGAACAGAGTCCTCCAAACATCAGGACGTGGAGAATCCTGCAATTGGGTCCAATGTGCTGCCGCTATATGGATTTTGCGATTATTGCCCTGTTACTGACATCTGTTACTCAAACTTTTCGGTGAATATGCAGCAGCAGATTGTACATGTTGGAGAAATAATAAGAACTCCTCCCCCAAACCTCCACAAGAAAGGCAGCATTGCGTAGAGGTGAATAGTTTGGGCGTTTTATTATCCAATGTGTGGAGGTGAGCACCTCCTGCACCTTGTGTAAACTGTGATCGATATCTCGGCAACGACAGTGAATCTTTCTATCCCACAAAAAATTGAATGTGCCTCTTGGCCATGTGTAGGATTGATTTGTAATGTTGAATGATGTAGTTTAGAGTGCTTGTGGCTGGATCTTTAGTGGATACAGTCGGTAAAGGAGGTGATGGACTATTAATCTTGAGACACGGGTCTGGGGACGCAGGTTCGAACCCCGCTATGGAAGATGGTGGAATTTGAATTCAATTTAAAAAATCTGAATTAAGAGTCTAATGATGAGTGTGAATCCATTGTAGATTGTCAGCAAAAACCCACCTGGTTTACTGTTGCCCTTTAGGGAAGGAAACTGCCATCCTTACTTGGTCTGGCCTCCGTGTGACTCCTGACCCACAGCAATGTGGTTATCTCTTAACTGCCCTCTGAACAACTATGGATGAGCAATAAATGCTGGTCCAGTCAGTGACACTCTCATCCCAAGAATGAATTTTTAAAAATGTTCAGTGCGAGAGGCCCACAGACAGCAATTTGTGCTAACAGATGTCCTTCACCTATACCGTGTGGGTGTTTGTTTAATGTATTGTGGAACCCTTCCCCCCACCTCATAGAATTAAACACTTTAATATCCAATCCCCCAGGACGTTGCCAGTCATTTTCACGTCCATTACACGTTTGCAATTTGGATGAGGATGGGAAACATAACACGTAATCATTCTGAACGCAGTCACACTCTGTCTCCCCATTGAAGCCAATGTGGTGGTGGCTGTCAATGATGACCCACTCCTATCTCCTGTAGTACCCCTTGCTCTGCCATGTTCTATCACCTACCACCACCTATATGTTGAGTTACCCTCTTTCACAATTGCTATTGCTTCTGTACCCCAGTAGGCTGCCTTCAGTGCCCACTATTGATTTCCCTAACACAGCAGTGGCCCCTCATAACCCCACAATGGACCTTCAGTCTTGGACACACCCTTAGACAGACATTGGCCCATCCCACTGGCCAACTGGATTGATAGCCCCAACTGATGAAGGACCAGCGCCCTGACGAATCTCCATGCAGCTCCCTAATTCACTCTCCACAAATCCCTGGGACAAGTTGAACCAAATCTGAAGGAGTGCCCATTTACCACTCCCAAAATTGTAGAGATAAGGACCCCTAACCTGGACATCTCAAAGACCGATTATGATCAAGTCCCTGGACTGATATTGGATGGTGCATTTGACTTATGGTATCAATATCCCAACATAAAGCAGACTCCCTTTGAAAAGGCACGACAAAGCATGGCAGAGTTGTTGTGAGAATCCAAGCAAGAGCAAAGCGAGCAGTGTCTCAGAGAGTAAGCGACAGGCCCTGAGTGCACTTGGTCCGATCCTTGAGGTAGGTGCCTGTCTTTGCACACAGTGTCTCCTGGCAGCCGCATCACTATGAAATGGGCTGGGGTGCTCCAACATGCAGCAAGGAGTGGGCAGCAACGTTCTAAGTAAGTCGGTG